AATTGATTTAGTAGCAAACAATCATATTAAATAATAGTAAAAATAATAAATTTGCTCATTCATGTGTTTTTTATGGAGTTTAGTTCTCTGAGCTGGATGGTTTTGGTCGTGTTCAGAGAACAAAACACCATCAAAATCATCCACCTGAGCTACAAATCTTCTCAACCATCTCATTAATGTGTATATTGAGTTTACATCCTATTTACACTACAGACAATATTTTGATCAGATCTACCATATGTAAACTATTACTCATAGTTAAATAGTTTATTTATCAAGAATAATGATAGTAGTAGGTCGTCTCAAATGATCTGTGTTAATTCTTGCAATATGATGATGTTTTTTGTTAAGAGGAAAGTGTTCATTATTAATAATAATAATAATAAATTCGGCAATAGTGAAATGGTATAGATTACTGGTTAAAGGATTCAGTATTTAACTAACAGATGATTTCAGATTCCAATTGTACTCCGCCGACTCATATAAACTATATAACGTAAAATTGAGTAGTAGAAGATGGTGAATAAGTTACAATATAAGATATTTCTAAATTTACTACTCATATGAAAACAATTCAAAATAGTTGGTGTAAGATCCAGTTAGATCTAAAAACTAAACGTTGTAGCTGACTGACTGACTGACAAACTAAACGTGACAACTAGTCATACATTCTGTAAATCAGTAGTTTTGTGAGAGACTTTGCAGTTATCATAAGTATTGTGAGATTAAACACTTAACTGTACAAATTGAAATAAGTTACAGTATGTGAGAAGGTAAAAGAATGTTAGGAATAGTTTCAAAAAACAAATTCATACTGAAAATTGACAGTCATTTTTTTCACTGAATTAAAAAAATTATAAATCTAAAATCATTTTACACTATGATCAGCCAGTTAAATCGTAGAACTTGGTACGTATGTACATCAGTTCTAGTTGCCATAACCAATTAACACAGACAGACGAAATTGTCAGGACAAATTCCAAAATAGTAAAGGTAGTAACACTATCAATGGCAATAGGAAAGATAATATATATAAGATTTGTAAATCAATGAAATAAAAACAAAAAAAAATTATGAGGAATTCAAAATCTCATAATTTGTGGAAAGACAAGGAATGGATGCACCTGAGTAACTGCAAACGATTTTGAGCCGTGTCATTCAAATTCTAGCGCACTACCACATAAGATATCATCCGTCGAGGTAACTGGTGACTGGGTATACGTAACATATGTCCCAACTACCTCAATTAGTGAATGTTTACTATTTCCGTAATCAATTCTCCATCTTTAGAAGGTACCCTATTCCTAACCCAGATGCCCATAATACACGAACAATGTTTCGAAGACACCTATTATCGGACACTAGTAATCTACAAATATCCTTTATTCTTAATGATCATATTTCACATTGGAGTGAACTGTTGAGCAGTAAAGTCGACTTTGGGCTGGCAGATCAATATCTTGCCTACGCTAAAAGTGAAACAAGTTTGACTTTTGAACCCGTATCAAGAGAAATCAAAAATGAGGTTAAATAGTTTTGATATCATTAGTTTAGGTAAAATATAGTACCATTTTATAAAGTCAATTTTTCAGAAATTATTGAGGAGATATATGAACAAAATATATTTTCGAGAATGAGACTTATTAAACTAGCTGACTATTCTATGTACAGAATAGATGAATGAGCGAGTGAGTGAGTGAGTGAGTGAGTGAGTGAGTGAGTGAGTGAGTGAGTGAGTGAGTGAGTGAGTGAGTGAGTGAGTGAGTGAGTGAGTGAGTGAGTGAGTGAGTGAGTGAGTGAGTGAGTGAGTGAGTGAGTGAGTGAGTGAGTGAGTGGATTAGTTCATTAGTTAGGAAGTTTACTAGCATCAACAATGTCATTAGTATTATCATATGATGATATTTATCTCTCTTTTTTTACATTGAAAACATAAAGTACATTTTCAAATAATGAATAAATAGAGAAAAAACAAATAAATTAGATTGAGTGTGTCCTAGGGAGTCATATGATCATTGATATAAAACTAAAACTACTAATAGCCGACTTCATGTTAATATTAGAAAGAGGAATAGAGAAAAAACTGTTTCTGTTATGATTATTATTGTTTATATGTCAGTCCATCGGATACAACGTAGGACAAGGCACATATAGACATCGGTTCAAGTTGGCATACCTCACTAGCACAACATGATGAACATCGAATTTGCAGAAGTAGTTAGTTCAATCGTCGCAATATATAAAAGAAACATTGCATATAAGGATATAATACAGGAAGAAACAATTAGTTGGTAGAATGAAAGATATGAAGCGACCTTAATCTCATAGTTTAAGGGAAGACAGTGAGTGTATACACACCTACACCATTCTGATCGATTTTGAGCCATGTCACTCAGAACCAAACCAAGTAGTCTGCACCTACCAACATGGGTCAGACAAGAAGTTAGTGACTTCAAACACTGATGCCACGTTTTGGTATGCCCGCCCCTAACTTTCTTCCAACCATCTCCAACACTAGTTAGCATTGCGCGTCGTGATGACTGGTGTTCAGGCATACGAAAAAACGTGATAGGTATATTTGAGTGTTTTGAGTAGTTATCATGAAAATGAACAAATTGTAATGTTTAAAAGAAGGTATTTTATAAAGATACTTTTTTAATTTGTAAGTAATATATTCCACAAACTGATCTCAATTAAATTACCATAGAAAGCTAGGAAAAATTAGACAGATGTTTCATGTCCTATTTTGAAATTTCTCAACCACAACATCATCGGAGACTGAACCCAAGTGTATCATGTTTCACATAGTTTTTACAGTTAGAATTATTTAGTGGTACAAGTCTGAACTTTAGAAATCAGAAATTTTCACTACAAATTCAGAAACTTCATGTCGAAATAAATCACCAGTGAGTTGACTATTGTAGATCTAAATGAATTGTTGCTGTATTTGTAATCTTTAGAACAGATTTTATGTTTGAAGAGTGAATAATTCATTTATTTGCAATAGATTAAGTTGTTCTTAGATAAAATAACACAACAACAAAAGTAGTAGGCCGGTGTATATAATGAATGCATTGCAAAATATCCACATACACACACCACTAACCGAGAAATGGGTAGTCAAATACTACGATTAATAATAATGTTTATGCGCTAAACTTTAGTTTAGACAACACATTTAAGTATACCCGAAATGCCCTGGTATGGCCAAGAGTGAGTAGAGTCATCTCTCCTTCTCTCGAAATGCTCTTACATAGTCACATGCATACGACCACTGCCAGGGAAGTCCTACTCACTACCTTCTCGCAACAAGGGTGTTGTTTACGAAAATGAGAGGACGAAAATCGGATGTCAGGCGCCTTGACCATATTGGTAGATATAGAAGATCCACGTAGGGGAGTTAGAAAACCCTGATTCTAAACCGATGGTGCACATAGGCTCCATGATCCTGAGGGAACAAATGGTGTATGAATATATTATTGGTCACCAGCTATCATGGGACTGCATCTCCTGACGTTGCTTCATTGCCGTGTGGATTAGACCTTTAGGTCGAAGACTCCGGGTGTGGTCCCCGAAGAAAACTAACTGCTTCGATTTGGTCACCCGGGCAGTATCACAGCCCACACACAAATCCAGTGACTTGTGTATTGGGTGCCCCTTTGTACTAATATTTATGTTCAAATAAATTAAAAAGACACATCACTGTGCATTGAATCGGTTAGAGAAGTTATTTTTGTGTATAAGAACTAAGGATATATTAATTGTTCAGTTAAGAAAATCACACCAAGTGAAAGTAATTCCAAAATCCCACAATAATTCAATGGTTGATCGTCAAACCATTTTCTATTGTTCTGTTAGATAAGTTTGTTATTGCAAAAAGGTAATCACTAGAGTTTACTACCTTGCCGATTAGTCCAAAGGTGAAGATTTACACATATTGGAAAGTAAAAAAATTTATGAAGAGAAAAAAGTAACAACTATAGGACAATAAAGTCCTAGTTTTAAACAAAAACATTCTGCTTACGACCATTAGATCACAGGTTCGACCCCACTTTTAGTTTAGATGGATTGTTTATTATGAATTGAGCTCTTTCTCACACACACACATGTGTGTGTGACTGACTTAAAGTCAAGTACATTACTAGACTACACTTGGAAAATGTTATGAAAAATATGTATAAGATGTTTCATCTTGTTATAAATGTTCAATCTATTCATCATATAAATGAATACTGAAAATTCTAGTTTTTGCAAAGATTGTTGTTGAAAAACCTGTATACTTGTTTAATTTGACCTTCATCATGAAACACGTGGCTTAGTCACACACATACACACTCATATATCAACAAGGAAATATTCAATGAAACTACGCGCATACATACTCAAAAAAACCACAATGGTAACATCAATTACTCATGAGAAAAACGAAAGTAGCCAGACGATGGTTGTAGATGTGTGTGTGTGTACGAGAGAGAGAGAGAGAGAACGAAATACAGTAGGAATGTGTCTATCAAAGAAAATATGTCTTTAATATATATCGTAAAATAATTGAAAACAATTCAATCAACTGAAATAATTCAATTCAATAAACTAAGTAACAAGTTTGTTTGTTCAGCTATAAGACTCACACGCAACTATTTATATATATGTATAATGGATCCAACACTAATTAAATCAAACAAGAAGAGATATTTAACTGTGAACCAATGTGATTAAATATAAATCACTTTAAAGGAAAAAAACTTTGGTTGCAGGATCATTGAAAACTGAAAGAATCGTTGGGTAAGTGTGTCTTGTTCAAGAATCTTTAACAGAGTGTTTCGAATACAAACTCGTCGGGGTTCAAACTCAGAAAGTTGAGGCCTTACGACAAGTATGTTATCTTTAGGATCACTTTTTATTAATAAATTCGAAGAAATCAATGAGAGCGAAAATGTAAGAGCTTGAAGTTTACACTCTTCAACATATATAATCATAATAATACAACAATAAGAATAACTTACTTGTACCGGAAGAAGACTCTGTTTTCACTGATGTTTGTAAAGTTTCTAAACAATCTGAAGAAGGAGGCGGTAATGATAATTGTTGTTGTATGCTTGATGCGGGTGGTGCAGATGTTGGTGTACGAGCTGAACTAGGCGTAAGTGGTGCACCAGATGTGGAACTACCGGAACTTCCAATTCCACTGATACCATGACCGCCGGAAAATGCAGGTGATGCACTTTTTGGACCATTTACACTAAGATGATTCACTGCATTATGATGATGATTATTACTATTCAATGATAATTTATCATTTTCAACTAATGATTTATGATTTACACCTAGTTGACGTCGTTTTAATTCAGTTAATTCATTCAATTCTTTTGTACGTAAATAATTTGAATCCAATTCACTATTTGGTGTGTGCAATTCTAATGCATCTAAACTTTCTTTAACTAATTCAAATAAATCTTGTTTTAAAAAACAATATAAATCATATTCCTTTTCATTACGACTTAATGACATAATAAATGTTAACCATTGATCAGCTGTTGGACCAACAACAACATCCCATTGTGATGAGATACCATTTTGAGGACGTTCACGATAAAGACGTAAATCTGAAAAGTGAAGAATGAAGAGAAAGTGGAAATATGTAATTATATTACGCATGAATGTAACAAGACTACCGTCGTAGACAAAGTCAACGATTGAAGAAACAAATTTATAGATCAGTGTTCTAATTAACAATACAGTAAAATAATAAAGCTCGTTTCCATTCCAAAGTCATTAGTTTTGTAATGAACAGAACACGGGTAGGGGACAATCGAATGTATTTGACACAAAATTATAGAGCATCTGAGAACTAGATATTAAATCGTTAATTTGAAAAATGTCCACCGATTGTCTCAAAATGCCTCAGACTTCATTGTTCTTACATTTTCATACAAATTGCATTCTATTCCCGCTCTTGCTTTCTTGATATTCCCTCATCTTCTGCTGCCAGACATTACATTCCTAACTCGCATAATATACTACTTATATCAATATAAGTAGCACGCACCACAGTTTATCAATGTTAAAACCAACTAACTCGACTTGACAATATACAGTTTTTGTGTGTCTATTTGTGTGAGATAGCTGGTGATATACATCGGCTGTATACTTGTGGCCATGTGAGATCATTTCGACAGGGAGAGCTGACTCTTCTCACTCTCGGCCGTACTAGGGCATTTAGGCGTAATGCATTTTTATAACTTTGTACAACAATCAAGCTGTGAACAAATCTAATAACCAGTAACACAACAGAAATCAATAGACCTATACAACTCAAATTCAATTGATTTACCCTATGGAATTCATTAAAGATGGGAAACGATTTATCGCATAAAGTACGACACAAGCACATATGTAAAGAAATTATTCTATTTTCTGATCAATAATACTTATCTCTATGTATCTTTTAAACGGAATCAACCTTTATTAAGAGTTCAAACTTTCTTCTTTTTATTTTCTCGACATGTTTATCTCAATCGAATTATGAATACAAATTCAGACAGTTTTAATGTGTGTGTATATAGGTGATGTTATATACAATGGGAAGAACAACAAAATGAGTCATACATTATAGGATACTGTACAATACTACTAGTCATGTTAACATTGATACTTCTACAATCTCAACAACTAATTTTTTTTATTATCATTAACCAATCATTAATTAGGTAAACCAGACAAGTTACCACAACATTCAGTTTTTTTTGGCCAATCAATCAATTTAACAAGGAATTAGTCACTAACATCTATTTACAAATTAAAATTTTAAATCGAAGCAATACACAAATGAGTAAGAGTGTTGTAGTGTTGACTGTTGTTTCTATACACATGGATACACCAATTATTAATATATATATATATACATCTCTACTTATATTGAAATTATTGTAAATAAAAAGTAAACGTATCAACAACTGATAAATGAAAGGAATATAATACAATAAGCACATAGTAATAATATTAGACAAACTAGTAGTATGTAAGTAGACAGAGAGAGAAGAAAAAATCCAACAATATGCATAGATAAACAAAAATCGAAAATACAGAGATTTTAAAGCAACCATGGTGATAATGATGATGATGAAGAAGAAGAGAAAACATGTTACTCTACTATATTGAAGTATTTTCTTTAATTGTATTACATTCTAACACATGAACATAAATACTTTCAATAAGAAGTGTAAACATTGAAGAAAAAAGAAGACTATAAGCTTATTACCATTGATATGTATTTAGACGTTAAAAATAATCACAACAGTAGTAGTAATGATAATGATAATAATGAAAAATAAAATAAAATATTAATAATATTATTACATTGATTTCAATAGTTGGGACCATGAGTCAATTAAAGCTAGACCACCATGGAAAACATGGAAGCACTTGACGGTTGTTCCGTCCTATTGTGGGACTCCTCAGTAGTGCGCATCCATGATCCCTCATCGCCAGATTCGGACTTAAGGAACTATCAGTCTCGCACGCAAGCGCTTAACCACTAGACCACTGGGCCGGCCGGTATTCAATGGTATTAACGTCTAACATCAACTAGTTTACGAAATTGAGCGACACATCCACCACTATCTCACAACAAACCTGGTTGAACTCGTACCCGTACCATGTCACAATCCAATGCGTCCAATCACTGATTACGAGTATTAGATAGATATCAAACGAGTTCACATACATTAAGGAGACTTATTAGTTACTGGTTATAGGAAACAATAATCAAGAAAATACTTAGCTCACAAATGCCATATAGTCCCCTTCGATTAGTATGTAATGCTAAAGTTAGACACAGGTTACTAGTTAAACATGGCAAGTCCCTTGATGTGATAGCAAATCCCTATTGACAGAGTTGGTCGGAAAATGTATTGTGTATCTCGAACCTTCGTCTAACTTGACGCCTAATATTGGCTGGTGTAAGAATACGTTGAAAGGGAACTAATGGTGGTCAAAACAAAACATAATATCAGTCCGTGGAGTCATTGACTGTTGGGTTGATCTGAGTAGACCGGTAAAGACTATCTGGTTAGGATCCATCTGACTATCGTAACCAATAGTTGGAGGTGTTTGATGATATATCTCAGAAGTGGTATTAACAAGACAGACCTATTCACTCTTTGTCTTTCGTTACGTTTTCAGTTTTGAAGTTATCTTATGATTTTCTATTCCGAGATTTCATGGTTTCTTCTCGAATCAGACGGTTTATGGCTACTGTTTTCAACCACCATATATACTGTTGCTTTATCCACTACCCTAAGAGTTGTCTTAATAATTTCAGCTTTTTGTGCTCGTATGGTGTGAGAACATGAACCGATGCAAATAGATGCCAAGTTCTACATTCCTTATCAATGAATAATTATTTCTAACAACTAGTAAGACAGATTCAGAAAACCGGAATAATCTTAACTCAAATAGTTTATATTATCTGAAAAGATAGAGTTACTCAACGCTTTATTAAACATGGACAATTTCAAGTCAAACGTGTATATATCTACTGGATACACCTTAACGCTATTTGATCTAGAACTTTGGTAAACCTATAATTCGTCACTATGATATATAAACTACATAACTAAGTGGGTTTTTTCATTAGATAGTAGTTGTGACATTAAAGGTTGAGGTAAGCAACCATTAGAAGTGAACAATTTACCTGGTATTCATTGAGAATGTTTGCTAATTTATTGTTTTTGAAATTCATCTCAGATGCCATTTTAGATGGCGTCAAGCATTCCAATACCAACCTTTAAAAAACCGTAACGAAGTGGTGATAGATTTTGACTTGTGATTAGTGATAGAACCGGTATTTAGTCTAACGCTGGATAGTGGAATAATCAAGAATACTAATCAGTTTACCTACCCAGAAAGTATATACATAGACGAAAGTCAAGGACTGATACCTTCAGAAACTACAAAGACGATATGAAGGGCGAATTTCGTGTATATTTATTGAGTCGTTAATGTATGGGATACTGTAAAACACTATGTCCTATATTTCACAACCACGATTTTTATACCAAACAATTTCAACTTTCAAGGAATGATTTTGATTTATATTAAATACTCATTTTCATAAGTAGAAAATCATATAAGTCAAAGTTATTTAACATGAAATTATAAGTATATATATATAATGGATGAACAATAAGCAAATACACTTACCATCCATATAATAGTAACTACATCCTTGAGCATCCTGGCCAGCTTTAATAAGTACATTGACATCTTCTGTTTCAGCGAAAACATTACATCCATCACTCGATCCTAAATCTCCAGAACCAAATAAATCATGAGCATCGATTCGGTCAAGACCAGTTGATCCGGAACCATTAGCACCACCACGTACAACACCACCACCACCAACACTATTTGTAGATATGGAACTATTGAAACATGTTGTAAAGTTGAAATCCGGCTGTTCATCATAAACTGATTCAATTAAATTATCCAATAATGCAGCTCTAGCAGCCGGTCCTAACTGATGCACCAATTTCCCGTTACGATGACGTTGCATATTAATTCTATATGAAGTACGCTTATCGATTGCGAAACGATCGAGTGCTTGATCAATAGTTGCCATACAAATATCCGGATCGTCATGATTTAAAAACCGAAGTATACGAGCAGCAAGATCACAAAATGCTACAGGATCTGGATCTTTTAAAACTTTTTGATACAGGTCCTATATGCCCATACATTCATTCGAAATAAGAGGTTGATAAACAAAAGGAACAGTTAAATTTTACATAAAAATGCAGCTCATTACACACATATAAAAAATTATATTCAGAATTAGTTAACCATGCAAAGCTACCTCATTCCGGTTCATTTTACATAGTTCAGCATATTGAAGTAGAACAATGTCTTATACTAGATGATGAATTTGACTTTCAACCACCATATATCAGATTCACTTAAGACAGATGAGTAGCAACACTAGCCTTTAAACCCACGTCATGTGGCTAGCTTAGAGACAAGTATATAAATATGCATCACATAATTGAGTTGAACAATGAAGTTTCGTAGAGAACAGGGCTATTTTTCTGCTACTCAATTATCAACCACAAATTTATACACTTACTTTTGCATCAGACATTTTACGTGAATGCGAGTCATCAGCTAGTCAGTCACAACCAAAACAAGCCCTGGCACAAATGTGCATCATTCTCATTTACCATACCATATTAACATAGAGATGAAACTGATAAGATGAGTAGTAGTAGTAGTATCAACGATAGTAACGAAAACAAAATATGCAGAATATGCTCCAAATAGAAGGGATGTAATAAGAGAGAATGAACAGTATAAGATAATATTAAAACTTTTAATTTACGCTGGTGATTTGTGTTACACAGGTGTTCAAACAGAAGCAGATAAGCTGAGGTTAGAACTCACAACATATACGTTGAAAGCCAAATCTCCTAGTCTGTAAGCTACAGTGGAAAAAAAACGTCATCACGTTTAGACTAGTAGTAGCTGGCTTTGGATTACTTCACAGTATGTCAACCATCAAAAAAAAATTTACAGTCCTTCAAAAGATATCACAGTTTATAAGGAACACTGATTGGAAATAAAAGCATTCCCACTGTCAAATCATATTCATTATGATATCACACAACATTATCAATATATACTACTATTTTCTATTTAAGGATACTTTTTATACAACTTTATCGAAATCATTCACTTTATTCTAAGATCATAGTCAATAGAACAATAACATCAGTTACAACAACCAATAACACTTCTCTATTTACATAATAAAAAACAAAACAAAAAACGAGTTATATAAATTCATTTCTATGTTTGTACAGAACAAAAAAAGTACACTTCATTATGCATAACAACCACTTTTTTTTTACAAATTAATACTCAATATAAGACATCTAGTTAATTCGATCCAATCAACAACAAAAAGAAAAAAATATATTGATCAGTAAGTACATTTTATTAATTGTAATTATCTATCATCATTATTTAACGAACTAACTAACTAATTGGAACTAATTATACAATCAGTGATTATATTATTCATTGTTTAATGAATTTCTTCACCAATTATCCTAATGTGGATAACTATCTCCATCTAACAAGAATCATACTCCACTGGTCAGGATTTCTCCTATGAGTTACATCTTCAAGTTAATCACTAGTGAGCACATGACTCTGTTATCAGTATGGGGGATTAATGGAGACTGATGTATTTCCGCAGGTGAAATCATGAGTTGATCTAAGCTACACTATTATTAAAAACCTGTAAGTACTGGACATCGAGATCATCAGTCAGTCATCGACAATGTAGGATCGGGTACATTTATGCATTAGCTCAGGTTGTCATACTTTATTAGCACGACAAGATGAACGTCAAATACATAGAAGCAGTTACTCCAATGATAATAATATATATGAATAAAGATTGCATATATGAGGATATAATACAGGGAAAAAGGATTGATTCGCAGAAGGAAAGGTATAAAGTAATTTTAATCCTATGGTTTAAAAGAAGACAAGGAGTGTATACACCTACACATCTATAATATGGTATTTATAATTAATTTGGTTAAGGTTTTCAGCAAAAACATTTAAAAAAACCCATTTCACCTGATGTTGATTTCCGAGATTAACTCAAACTGAGAACAGTCATTATCAGATCAATGATTTGGTATTGTTAACTTTTAACTGTTGTACAGTTACAAGACAAGTTTATTGATGATACGCGAATGTCAAAGGTTTTCTTAGGAGCAATATTTTTTGTGAGGCAGAAGCGTTTAGAAGATAAATACCAATGAGATAGTGCGACTATGTGTGGTTTAACACTGTCTGCACTCCATCGTGAAATATTGCTATATTACCAGGTCACGGAAGCCCAACTCAATGCCATACCTCATTAACACAACAAGATGGACGTCTTTATTGTGAATTTCTAATCATCTTTACCATTACTTTAAAATGTAGTGTATATAAATATATAGTGTTATTATTATGAATAAAGCTTATACACTTCAGAGATTCAACTGACAATGGAAATAGTTTAACAAATTATTAATTATTCTAAATTTTCACTCACACCCTTCTGTTGAAATTACATTGAAAGAAGACCAACAACACCAGATTTTAACCTTTCCTTATCTCTGAACCTTCTGCTGGATTGGATTTCGTAAACTGATGTCAGTTGACTACTAAATAGCATTTACAGTTGGAAATCACTAATAACTGATCAAGACTGTGAAAATTTTAAGAATTCTATTTTATTCATTCACAGGCTAAGTGTATCAACAATGTACTCAAACTAATTCAATCTAAACAGGAGAAATTTTAAGGTCAACGGTCAGTTCTAGAATAACTTATATGAATTGTGTCTACTCTAATGCTCTATTCTTGTTATCTTAATGCGTAGATTTAATGTATAACGGAGAGATACTTGATGACATGTTTCCATTATCAGCTATATCATCAGAGATTCATTCATTCTTTATGTTATTCCAAATATTCTACCAGGTATTACCATGCATTTTTTAAAAATCTAATACTCTATAGTTGATAACTTGTCCCATTCCTTTTAAAATAAAACTACCCATTGAAACAAACATTCGCTACATATATCAATATGAATTTATAGTGATACCCTTTATTATTTATATCTGTGTCCATACTCCTTTTTTTCAAATTCTTGGATTGCATAATATAATATTTATATTCTTTACCCCCCCCCCGCCACGAGAAGGCAATGAGTAGGACTTCCCTGGCAGCGGCTATATACGCGTGGCCATATGAGAGCATTTCGAGAGGGAGAGCGGACTTTCCCCACTCTCGGCCGTACCAGGGCAAATAAATAAATAAATAAACTGGGGATATTCAAAATTCCCTATATTCCCACAATTCAAAGTCCAAAATATTTTCTTTTTTGATAGTTGACATTGAGGTGTTTCACACTTTTGCTAGATACTGACGGAAGTCAGTCATTTACAGACTTATCAAAACAAATGTATTTCCCATAAGTTTAAAAAAAACAAGAAAAAAGGAGCGAGCGAGCGACAGAGAGAGAGAAAGAATCAAAATCAGACTTGTTGTTTTGTCTTTAGATCTATTCAATTGATCTTTCAATAGTATTAACAATAATAAGAAAAATAAAATGGTATTATTTATACGAATATTCGTCAAGATTAGAACGAATAGTTTGACAGTAATTGAGCACCGAGTATAGAGAAGTCATTATATGTGAAAATTAGATTTGAAATATTCTCAGCAATTGAAATTTAACTAATTCCAACGTTTCGTCCAGCTAACTTGTCTGGACTTCTTCAGGGTAATAATCAAAATTATCAAAGAAATATATAGCTTTTTAACAATGGTATTATTTCATAACATGTAAAAATAGAAAAGCGAACAAGCCAGTATCAAAGTCAGTGAATGAATGAATGAATGAGAAAGATCGACAGAATATTGAAATTTTTAACCGATTATTTTCACAATTGATGAATAGGTTATGAAATTGTAACTAATCTATTTTATATAATGTATCACTTATTATCTAATAGAAATAAATAGAAAGTATCGTCAAGTTGCATTCACATACAAATACAATAACATTTGGCCTAATTAACAATTTTTGCAACCGCACACACACACACACACAGGCATAGATACATACATACAGGGTATATGATGAAATCAATATTCATAATATGAATATGTCTCAGTTACCTCTATATATAATTATTTATAACCTAATCATTACAACTCACAATATCATGGCATAGTTAACTTGATAGAATTGGCTTTTGATAGTTAATGATATTAAATTGTTCTATGTTAAAATAGAGTAAACTTTCCCGTTCACTTAAAAAAAAACACAACGATTATATCATGCAATCCTATATGAAATCAACCAAGTTACTAATTGGATAATTGAGAATGAAAGTTAAATGCATTAACAACTAGATCCATATATGTAGAATAAATAATAATAATAATAATAATAATAATAATAATAATAATAATAATAATAATACATATTTCTCTCTTATTTGATAACTTTGTTGCGTTATCATTTTCAATCTTATACTGATTCAAGAATGTTATGGTTAACTAATCAGGTTTCACTGAATGTATACTATCCTTACTATGTATTAGCAATTATTCATTAGGTAATCATTTAAGTTCGGTTGCTTCATCTTTTGTTATTAATTATTTTTCGAAATGTTCTTTTGCATATGGTATATATGTATTGAATAGGTTTATATAGAATAAACAGAATGTGGAATCCGAAACCTGTGTTTCGTCCAATATGTGACGTCAGCTGCATTTCCGAGATAAATCAACTCTCGAACCCAGATCCATCCAGCTAACTAGTTCGAAATAAGACGAAATGGACGCGGTGGATGGCCAAATTCTATCGATTCTGTATGAACGAATTCATTATTCCAAGTACATTCAAAGTATTTTGTAATTATGATTTAGAAAAATAATAGGTTACCTAAAAGAATAAAATGAATGCTTTTCATCCAACTCAATTCATACTTTTTATTTCCTTCAACTAAATAAAGGGAAATATCTGCATCAGAAATCTGAAGCAGTTCAGGAGCAGAATTAGGAATATTCGAGCACATTGTTGAAAGTCAAGTGTTTTAAACTACTCTAAGGCACGTTGATTAACTCATTACACCATTTACTTATAACAAT